TGAACTGCTAAAGGGTAAAGAGAGTGGCGACGTTGTGCAGTTTGTGAGTATCAGACACACTGCGGAATTTAGGACAAGTTGGTGACAGGCGGTTTTCCTGTTATCTGAAAGCCCCGTGTAGAAGTTGCTGAGGTCTGGTGATCTGGTTCTCCCCGGTGTGAGACTGAAGCTGTAGACGGAGCTCTGTGTAATAGGCGACTGAAGTCAAGGGTTGGTAAACTGGGTAGGTGATCCATTCTCTCGAGGAGCCAGTGTGTGAGCACACCCTGTCTGCCATGCTCCTTGTCACCCTAACAAGCTGGTTCTCTGCCAGGCTCTCATCTCCATGGACCCCTAAGTTGTTATTACCCTCTCCTATCCAGGGTTAAGTGCCTTCATTTTGTAACAAATTGTTGTGCTGATGTTGACATTAATCCCTTTGTATATATTTAAATGTCTTTTAAAAGAAGAAGAAAAATCAGCCTTGTTTAAAAAAGTCTTTGTTTTCAGTTGATAGTTCATTTTGGAAAAATAAGGCTGACATAAATAAACAGGGTTTCATTTGAGATTTTTTTCTGTTTAAAAAATATGAAAAGTATGGAAATATGAAGCTAGTAAGATGGTCTAGGGGGTAAAGATGCTTGCCTCCTAGCCTGCTGATCTGTTTGGACCCCAGACCCCACATGCTGGAAAGAGAGTCCCTGCAAGTTGTCCCCTGCTCTCCACATACATGCCATGGTGTGTGCACACACTCTAAGTGAAATGTTAAAGATAATACGGTAAGTAGTAAGATAACCATTCATAGAAAAGAAAGCATTCATGGTTTTAGTAATTAGACTATACTTTGATAGTTTATCTTTCTATACTTTTTGAAATAACAGGCTTTATTATATAACATAATTTAATTCCATGTATTGTGTCATTTAAATTTTTATTACCATGCTTTTCTCATTTATTTTCTTTTTACTTTCTTAAACATTTAAAAAAAATTTTGTATTTGAGGATTTTAGTCTTGCTTTGTGTCTGTGCACCACATGCATGCAGTGCCCTTGCAAACCAGAAGAGGGTGTCAGATCCCCTGGAGTTGGAGTTACAGACAGTTGTGAACTGCCTTGTGGGTCCTGGGAGCTGAACCCTGGTCCTCTGTAAAAGTGACAACAGCAGCCGGACAGTGATTGGTGCACACCTTTAATCTAGCACTCAGGAGGCAGAGGCAGGCGGATTTCTGTGAGTTCGAGGCCAGCCAGCCAGGTCTACAAGAGCTAGTTTCCAGGACAGGCTCCAAAGCTACAGTGAGAAACCCTGTCTCCCCCCCCCCCCCCCCGAGAGAGAGAGAGAGAGACAGAGACAGAGATAGAGACAGAGAGACAGAGAGAACTGTTTCTAACTGCTGAACTATCTGTTCAGCCCCTCATTCTTTTTTAAAAACATAAACTTTGCAGCCCTGTTCTGTGAGTTAGAACCCTCCCCTTCGTAATGGACAGTTTGTAGCAGGAGGAGAAGCAGAGGGGATAGTGTTGCAAGCCTCACCTCCATCATGGCAGCTGTCTGAGCACATGCCTCTTTGTGTCTTTGAGAGAGTTCTGAGGAGTAGAAAAGAGAAGTGATCCTTTTTAAACATTTTAATTTTTGTGGTGATGGGAACTGACCTGGGGTCCTCTGTAAGAGCACTGAACACTCTGTCTGCCCAGCTTCTCTGCAGCTCCTAGACAACTGCTAACCGTGTCTGTCCCCGATGGAGGCAGTGAGGGCCTGCTGAAGATGGGCGATTTAGGGGACATCTACAAGCTGCTGGTAGTGAGTGGCCAATAGAAGGGAGAGAGCATTCATCCTGGGGCAGGTGACTGGAAGGTTGAAGTCATCCCCATGGGTGTTGAAGCCAGGAGGAAAGCAGAAGACGGAGGGACGGAGCGCTCTGGAGTATGGGTGTGATGGCCAAGGAAAGCTGGAGTGGGGTGGGTGGCCCCGAGTCTGACTGAGGTGAGCTGCTCCATCTTTGGCCCTCAGCTGAAGTGTTGCTAGGTCCCCGAGTGTTTTGTCTTCTTCCTATGCTACCCATAGCTGTCTGCCTGTCTCTTCCTTGTTCTAGGCAGCAAGAGCCCTGGAGTCACCCGGCTGGGCTTCAGCAGCCAGTGTAGTTCAGAACCTGTCTTCCCATGGGCCTGCGTGGTGTTCATTGAGTAGTGTGTGTGGGGGGGGATTTACAACCCGGGGGCCATGGGTGGGAGCAGAGAGAAGGAGGAAGAGCAGAGACTCCTCTGCATGCTAAGCTCTGACTGCTACAAAACTGCAGGAGGAGATGCTGTCGAATGGATGCGTGCTGCTTTCGGCTCAGTGCGAGTGACTTCTCCCGCGTCTAGTTTTCCAGGGTTGGCTGCTTAATAATATGCCTGTCTTCCATGCATGCCTTGAGACATTTTCAGGTGGTTTTTATTTTTAATTAAATTATAGTTACACAATTCTCCCCCTTCCCTTTTCTCCTTCCAACCCTTTCCAAGTCCCCTCTGATATATATATATATACACATATATATATGTATATGTATATATTTATATATGTATATATATGTATGTATGTATGTATAGTGTGTGTGTGTGTTCATGGATATGTGTGTCTGTGGGAGTGTGTGCAGGCACAGCACATGTGTAGGTCAGAGGGCCACCTCAGGTACCTTTTGTTAGAATCTCTAGTTGGACTTAGGCCACAAACACCATCTGGTGTCCCCTCTGGGTGGAAGGCTGTGCTGTTAGCAGTACCATCTCTTCACATGAACTCTGGTGGTCTCAGGTTCTACATTGCAGGTTCCTGGCTTTGCTTTTAAAGGAAGAAAAGGTTGATCTTGGCACGGTTTCTGGGCATGTCAGACCATCTTGGCAGGGAAGGCGTGGTGGTTAGAGTTAGTAGTTCTGGCCATAGCCCTACATTTTGCTATATCAGAAAGCAGATAGGGCTGGCAACTTAATGTATTTACTGGCGTTTCTGAGAACATTGCTTCCTTGAGAGCTTCCTGAGAGCTTATGCACTGACTAGTGTTGCTGAGTCCATGGCCTGCATGCTGTAGCCGATGTTGAACAGTGAATGCTTGCTTCTTTCTGGAACCATGTGGAATGTTTTTATTTTTACACTCTATATTTTAAAAGTATATTATAAGGGTAGTTATGCATGCTGTGGCACACCTGTGGAGTCAGATGTCGGGGTCTGGTAGCAGCCCGGACCATAAATTAAGTCTCTAGACCAGACCCCAACATAAACTATCTCTGGACCAGCGTGGAGGCACGGAAATAAAGACACAACTCACATGGCTTTATCGGGAGGGAGATTCTCAGTGGTCATGAAGTCCTGAGTTCACATCCTGGAGAATTTCTCCTTGTTTAGTCTCCAAACAGTCTTTTTCCTAAAACTTAAATCAGGGGGAGGGGGAAGCACATTAGCATTCTGTCTCCGAGGTAGCCAGGTTGATGGCTTTTTGTCACTTCTGCCTCTGCCTATTTGCTCTGTGTGCTAGCTGTCAGGCAGGTTTGCATCAGCATCTCTATCAGGCATCCTCCAAATTACAAAGAAAGGAGCAACAACATCCTGACCCTCTGTTAGGGCAGTGACAGCCTGTCTGCAGGGCTACGTGACCACCTCAGTTGGGGCCTCTGGCTTCAGAGCCTGGCTGCCACACCATATAGAAATATGGGCCTTCAATCAGAGGACAACTTTGTGGAGTCGTTTTCTCCTGTCTTTAGTTGTTTGCCAGGGATTGAATTCAGGTCACCAGGTTTGTGTGGTATCTTTACCCGCTGAGCCATCTTTTTGGCCCTCATTTTAAATTACATTGTGTGTGTGTGTTATACACACCTGTGTGTTCGCGCCTTTGTTTGCACGCAGAGACCAATGGAGGTGGTTAGATGTCTTCCTCAATCACTGTCTTTCTTACTCCTTTGAGATGGAGCCTCTCCCTGAACTTGGAGCTCACGTGTTTTGGCTGGACTGCTTGCTAACAAACTTTATCCATCCTCCATGTCTGCCCTCTTCAGTGCTGGGGTTATAGGTGCATGTGAGACCCATTTCCTGCTTGTTACGTGGGTGCTGGTATCTGAACTCATATCATCATGCTCATGAAGCAAGCACTGTTACCCCCGAGTCATCTTCCAGCTCTGAGATGCTGCATCTTAAGAAAGCTGGGTTTCCTGTGTGTCTTCCTAATTTAGAATGAAAGGAACTAATTAATAGTTGGAGAGCAGTTGAATAAGAAACATATTACTCTACCGGCTATAATTAACTAGTTAACTCTTAAATCTGTCTAGCGAAAAACCATTTTATGAGAGTAAAGTGGGTCGGCTCAGTGGTAGAACCCTTGCGCAGGGTTCCTGTGTTCAAGCCTCAGCACTGCAAAAACTCCAAACTCAGTTTTAGTACTTTTCCTTTTTTATGCATTTACAGTGCCCGAACATGATTTTGAGAACTCATTTTATAACAAATAGTAGTCCCTAGTGGAGCTGCTCTCAAGAGAGAATACTGTGTCAACAGCCTATCTCCTTCCCTTTGCGTTTCTTCTCCTTTGCTCGGAAAGGAGGCTGCCCCCTTGCGAAACTGCACAGCGGGAAGGACAGTGTAGGTGCTACCTTTGCCTTTGGCTAATGTGACCAAGCTTGTTTTAAGGGTGTTTAGAGGAGCCTGTGCCCTTCTAAGACTGAGTTTATTGAGAGAGAGGTGATAGGACAGTGCCTACCATGACTCTCAGCGTGGTGCGAGGGTTTTGGTGGAAGCAGAAGATTGCTTTCCTAACTTGTGCGTTTACAGGCTAGGGAACTTTGAAAAATGCCAGCTTACCAAGCACATAGCTCTCTGGTTCGATCCTTTGGGCTTTGCCATTCTGCTAATAAAAATAATACTCATGTTTTTCTGATCCGTTCACCAAGTGTTCGTGCTTCCCACCCTGCGTGTGATCAGGAGTGTCTTTGTCTTTGATGAAATGCTTCCTGACAGTGCGTGTTCTGCCCGCCCGTGATTTGTTCTCCTCTCTTCCTTTGCAGAATGGACTGCTGAACTATGAAGGATTTCAGACCTAGTCGTGGGTCATCACTCCGCCGCTCTCGCCTTTATCGCCTACTAGTTATTTAAATTGAACTTTTAATATCCGACCAGCTGCTCTTCAGACACACATGGTGCATTGCTGCCATTCCCCGGATTGCATCTTTGAAACACACGCTCTTAGTAGCCTTCAGCGAACAAAGAGGCCACCTCCCGGTACAGCTACCGGGAGGGAGTCATCCTGACCGCCCCCCAGCCTTGGCCGGATCTGGATTTGAATCCTACCATGGAGCCTCGAATGGAGTCCTGCCTGGCCCAGGTGCTGCAGAAGGATGTGGGGAAACGGCTGCAGGTTGGCCAGGAGCTCATAGACTATTTCTCGGACAAGCAGAAGTCTGCTGACCTTGAGCATGACCAGACCATGTTAGATAAGCTTGTGGACGGACTCGCTACCTCTTGGGTGAACTCTAGCAATTACAAGGTAAGCCGTGCTCTTGGAGGTGCTCTTGAAGGTGGTAAGGCTGTCTTGGCAGATCGAAACTGGTCTGGGGAAAAAAATCATTAGGGAAGTATTAGCAGCCTAATCCCTCGACTTCAAACACAATATGCATGCAAATTATGGGAAGAGTGGGGGACACTTTTGTGTGGGGACGTTTAAAAGCATTTGCAGTCTTGACATTGGAGGTTTGGACACCTTGGTGACTGGTCTTCACTGTTGTCTCTGGGGTCAGAACGTAGAACATTTTACTTTCAAATTACTATTGAAATCTACATGGTACCTGGCCAAAACCAGTTTCGGTTGTCAAGGAGTGACTTTAACCCTTGGGTAATGGCTAGAGGATGATAGATAGCTTTTGGACTTGGTACCTGACCAGAAACAGTTTCAGTTGTCTTCGGTTGTCAAGGAGTGACTTTGACTCACGGGTAATGGCTAGAGGATAGCTTTTGGTTTTGAAGATTAGGGCTCTTCATGTGCAGTAGGTGAAGGGTGTCTGTAGGGAGGTCTGTGCACAGCCCATTTAAGTTGTGAACATGGACCATTTGCCATTCAAGGTTGAGCTTCATGAATGCAAACTACAGGGCGCTGGAAGCCCTGAAGAGGTGTTCTTCACCTGCCCCTCTTCACCTGCCTCCTCTTCACCTGCCCCCTCTTCACCTGCCCTTCTTCACCTGCCCCCTCTTCACCTGCCCCCTCTTCACCTGCCCCTCTTCACCTGCCCCTCTTCACCTGCCCCCTCTTCACCTGCCCCCTCTTCACCTGCCCCCTCTTCACCTGCCCCCTCTTCACCTGCCCCCTCTTCACCCGCCCCTCTTCACCCGCCCCTCTTCACCCACCCCCTCTTCACCCGGCCCCTCTTCACCCGGCCCCTCTTCACCTGCCCCCTCTTCACCTGCCCCCTCTTCACCTGCCCCCTCTTCACCTGCCCCTCTTCACCTGCCCCTCTTCACCTGCCCCCTCTTCACCTGCCCCCTCTTCACCTGCCCCCTCTTCACCCGGCCCCTCTTCACCCGGCCCCTCTTCACCCGGCCCCTCTTCACCTGCCCCCTCTTCACCTGCCCCCTCTTCACCTGCCCCCTCTTCACCTGCTCCTCTTCACCTGCCCCCTCTTCACCCGCCCCCTCTTCACCTGCCCCTCTTCACCCGCCCCCTCTTCACCCGCCCCCTCTTCACCCGCCCCCTCTTCACCCGCCCCCTCTTCACCCGCCCCCTCTTCACCTGCCCCCTCTTCACCTGCTCCTCTTCACCTGCCCCCTCTTCACCCGCCCCCTCTTCACCTGCCCCTCTTCACCTGCCCCCTCTTCACCTGCCCCCTCTTCACCTGCCCCCTCTTCACCTGCTCCTCTTCACCTGCCCCCTCTTCACCCACCCCCTCCTGTATCTTCGGCTCATCCCTCCCAGGGTGTGGCGTCTCTGGGTCAGGTTTGAGTGGCCGGAAGGGTAGGAAGCTTGTGCGGCTGCCGGCAGTGGGCAGTGCGGCAGACTTGGTCAGGTGGCCACAGACACTGGCTCCCTTGTGCCCCTCCTTACTGACTCAGGTGCCTGAGGCTGATTTGGACTTAGGAGCTGGTGCTTACAGGGTTCCTTTTGGTCCCCATTCCACACACATTTAAGCCCCAGTCTTAAGCAAGAGCGGTGAACTCTTATTGTTAAGACATTACCTCATATGTAACAGTCCTTCACCACTGGGTATACCTGTGGGTCCCCCATCCTTGAAACTGAGCTGAAATCCTGTCTCGGTCTATTTACTTGGCAGAAGTTAATGAGTATTGTCTCGTATGCAGGCTACCCGGCGCTCTATGGTGAGAGCATTGGCCCTGAGAGGTCAGGTAGAGTCCGCTTGTGCTTGTCAGGGTTGACCGCTTATGTGTTTGAGCCATGGCTCCGCTACTCTTGTGTGCATGGTAAGAAGCATTTGGCAGAGACGCTAGCGTGTAGGAAATTTAGCAAGACTAGTAGTAGCTGAGGTAATATGGGGGGTTGGGGGAGGAGTGCTTTCCGAGCTTGTGACAGACCTTGTGCATGTTCCTGGCCAGTCGGCCTTACTTCTTCCCATCCCTCCCTGTGGAGCCACTGGGCAGTGAGTGACACTGGGCAGTGAGGGCCCCTGGGCAGTGAGGGCCCCTGGGCAGTGAGTGACACTGGGCAGTGAGGGCCCCTGGGCAGTGAGGGCTGGCCGCTGGGCAGTGAGGGCCCCTGGGCAGTGAGGGCTGGCCGCTGGGCAGTGAGGGCCCCTGGACAGTGAGGGCCCCTGGACAGTGAGGGCCCCTGGACAGTGAGGGCCCCTGGGCAGTGAGGGCCCCTGGGCAGTGAGGGCCCCTGGACAGTGAGTGACCCTGGGCAGTGAGGGCCCCTCGGCAGTGAGAGCCCCTGGGCAGTGAGAGCCCCTGGGCAGTGAGGGCCCCTGGGCAGTGAGTGACCCTGGGCAGTGAGTGACCCTGGGCAGTGAGGGCCCCTGGGCAGTGAGTGACCCTGGGCAGTGAGGGCCCCTGGTCAGTGAGGGCTGGCCGCTGGGCAGTGAGAGCCCCTGGGCAGTGAGGGCCCCTGGGCAGTGAGGGCCCCTGGGCAGTGAGTGACCCTGGGCAGTGAGGGCCCCTGGGCAGTGAGTGACCCTGGGCAGTGAGGGCCCCTGGTCAGTGAGGGCTGGCCGCTGGGCAGTGAGAGCCCCTGGGCAGTGAGGGCCGCTGGGCAGTGCCTTTTTTGCCTGTCCAGGATCACTTCCCACCTCCTGCTTAACTGCTGGTCTCAGCAAAGGTGCTCTTCTCTCTCCTAAGGGAAGTCTGTGTTCACAGGAAGGAGGGCGGGTACTTGAGTCTGACTGTACCAGGAAGAGGAGATTGCGGCTAGGATATTACGATGTTAATTAGCAACCTGTGGGGCCTGTTTCACTGGCCTGTAATGTCTCTGAGTCTCAGGTTTCCCATTTATAATGTCAGGATAATCAGATTATTTACTAATCTTAAAAGATTTATTTATATTTATTTTATTTGTATGAGTGTTTGCCTGCATGTTAGCTTGTGCACCACATGTGTGCAGTGTCCACGGAAGCGAGAAGAGGCCATCTCCCTGAGCTGAACTGGAGTTACAGACGGTTGAGAGCCACCACGTGGGTACTGGGAACCAAACTTAGCTTCTCCGCAAGAGCAGTTGATGCCTTTAACCACTAGGCCCTCTCTCCTCTTCTCGCTTCTGTGGACACTGCACACATGTGGTGCACAAGCTAACATGCAGGCAAACACTCATACAAATAAAATAAATATAAATAAATCTTTTAAGATTAGTAAATAATAACAATCCTTAAAAGATTGTTTTGTATCCATGCATGCTTGTGTGTATGTGAATGTGTGTATGCCTTGGTGTGTGGTGTAGGTTGGAGAACCTCAGGTGTTGTGTTTTGCTGAATTGTTCTATTTCCAATAAAAACTCAAGAGGCAGTTATTGGGGTGAAAAGCCTTAGAGATCAAAGAAGCAGAGAAGAGAAGTCACCAGCTGACCTTCCCTTTCTTATTGGTTACCCAGCCAGCACCTCTTCCCATCAAAAGTCCCAGAATCCCAAGTCCCTCCCCTCTCCTTCCTGATGGACCTCCCTATCTATTCCTGGCTTCTATGGCTAATTCCAGTCAGCGAGTTGGTGGCTCTGCCCCATCCCAAGTTAGCTCTATTAACATGGTCTTGGAGAGTCACGGCGTAGCACTCAAGTGTTGATCTGAGGCAGGGTCTCTTATTGTTCACCACTGCTGTGTGTGCTCACGACTGTTGTGTGTGCCAGGCTGCAGAGCCATACACTTCTGGGAAGCTTCTGATCCCTCCTCCCCTCGCCCCACAGGAGCGCTCAGATTATGTGCACTCCCAAGGCCAGCTTTTACAGGGTTCTGTGAATCTGAACTCAGGTCCTTGTGCAAGTGCGGCAGGCACTTTACCTCCTGAGCCTTTCCCCAGACAGATAATAAAGTTTTTATGAGCACCGAATGAGGGAGTCTCGGTAATTTCCTGCCGCTGCATGCTAAGCTCCTTAGTGGTGGCTCTTGCCTTGTCTAGGAGTGGCTGGTCAAAACAGGCGATTGCATCACTGTTCAGGTGCAGCATGCCCATGCATGGAAACACATGGGATTCTGGGCAAGACAGATGTACGCAGCACCACTTCCTGGAGAGCCTTGAAGTTTCAGTCCTTTTTCAGTCACAGGAGGGAAGATTTAAGATGTTTTAACTAACACTCTGAGGAGTAATTCTTTTATCTTTGCTCCCCCAGCTCTCTCTCCTTCCCCTCCCCTTTCTTCTCCTGTCCATTTTCTTCCCTCTTCTCTTTTTGGTACAGGGTCTTCTATGTAGCCCAGGCTGGCCAGAAGTTGGGTGATCTCGAGCTCATGTTTCTCCTGTCTCCAGTTCCCAAGTCCTGGGAAGACAGCACATGTGTGCCACCGTGCCTGCTAGGGAGGAAACCAGCAAAGGCAGGCTGTTGGGAAGTTAAGTGACAAAGATTGGGACTTGTGACCAGGTTCACTAACCCATTTGTCGTGCAGATGAACTGAGTGCCATGTCACTTGGGAACCCTCAGCTCTGACATCTGCTGCTTTATTACAGAGGGTTGTGTATGCAGGCTTGTTCTGTGGACGGAGCACCCCCTCCTTTGGAAGTGTTGAGGTTCTGGCTCTGCCAGTTCTCTAACTGCAGAAACAGCCCCATTCCCAACTGAAGCCCAGAGCCTGGATCTGGTAGGGGCTCAGCAAATGCTAGATACAGGGGTGGACTTAGCATATAGATTGCTCCTCAGGTGTGATTGCTGGCTTTGGTGAAATCTGGACACTAACCTTTTAGGCTTTGCCTCCTTTATCTCTCCTAATCTTAGTCAAGAATTCTGAGAATCTGAAGTACATTTCATTAGACTTTAATTTTAAAATCGTAGGACTAGAGGAGACTAGCTTTCCAAACAGAACTCTGAAGCTGTACTTCTAGACTCTTCTACGTTAAGGACTAAAGAGATG